CAACATATCTTTGATGGCCTTTGCACCGAGGAAACAAACGAAAAACGTTGAAGCGATGATCTCTTTCACTGTTAATGTTTGTGCCACCTTAATAAATTAGAAAATCTATTTCTTCTAAGTTTAAATTTAACAAAAAAATCATTTCCCAATTCAGCTGTAGGCAATCGAGGCAGAGACAAATTTCAGATTAAAAATTTTCAACACCTAGTGGTTATATATCAAAATGTTTATTGTCTGAGTCTGGTTGGGCAAGACGGGAAAATATTTGGTTCTCGGCCATGACGTACGGACCTCGCTGTGCTCGGTTTATACATCATGACCTAGAGCCAAATATTTCCCGTTCGGCCCTCCCACTGATTCATTAGGTACATATTATTAAACTAAAAATTGAGATTATTTCACTGTGTAGAATATATATTGCAATATATTCGGATGGTAATAATAATAATGGGTGTTCTAGGCGAATTTCCCAGTTAAAAGTTAAAAATAAAGAAACATTTACGAATTTTTGTGGTTCCCTTTACAATCAAACCCTTTGCCCGTTTTAAGCCCGTCGGCAAAACGGTTCAAACTATGCCCTTCAGGAGTGGGGTGGCAAACGCATACATTGCTCATCATGCAGGTAGTACCCCCTCTCCCTGGGGCTGTCTATCACCTTTAAAATTAAGTTCTGTCCATATAATCTCTTATTTCATCTTGATCGCGTTTACATGACAGGTGGGGTAACCCTCCTGGGCGGGTTGGCCGGTCTGCTGAGTAGGGTAACCCTGTCAGCCTGGGTGACAATTTGCCATGTAAACGTCTCAAGGTGGGGTAACCCGCCTAGCCGGGGTCACGTTCGTATCACAAAAAGACCAAATAAGCCAAACAAAAGCAAAACACGAGTGTGTTAAAACTTTCTACATTTCCTAGCCGTACCATGCAGAGCTAAAACGTTATCACACTCTAGGTCAGAGCTTCGAACTCTCTTATCTTTGCTCTTTACCTCTGAATCAAGGATAGAATGTAAGGAATTTGGGTGATATAAACTCTTCTAGTTATTCCACGACTGTAACTTTTGGGCTACATCCCGACAGAGGAATTTATGTAAATGAATCAATTGATCGTTTGTTTTACGAAAAAGGCTTGAATTTGTGCGTTTATCATATGTACCATCGGTGGTTAAGGATTATAGTCCAAAAGTACAGTTCGTGCGTTCACTGACCTCTTGCTCTGTCGATGCTGCCTTATCAGTTGTGATGCAGTAAAATCAACAAGAAGGCAAACTACCGCTATGAAATTTCTCTCGATATTTTGGCTGATGGTGACAGCTAGTTCTCTTGCTTCTTCTGTTGGTAAGTATCTTAGTAGTAATTCCTAATGTTATGAAATACTTCGATCGAAAAATTTACACGCGAATTTTTATAACAGGGTATCGGCAGTTATGGGCCGTCTGACTGTCTAAAGGTGATGTATGGACAGTTCGGCTTTCACATAATTTCTAATTCTTTTTCTTTTCGTAATCCAAGTATTGTCTTTGTCACTTTATCACTTTGCTTCGAAGGAATAATAACAGGTGATGAATCCTGTTTCGAAGATTATTTCAAATTTCGTCGAGTAGCTAGCGAGCGTGATGTAATGCATACGATGTCGCCATTTCGTGAGTTCATTAAAAGCAGTAAAGTAAATATGAATGTCAAAAGTTTAAATGTGTCACTAATTTCACGGAAAAGTCCTTTCAGGACAGTGAAAAACCTTTTCAGTGAGGCTAGCCTTCTATAGTAGGATGACGGTTTATTAAAGTTTGTCTAAAATTGCACTGAACCTCTAACCGCAATAATTATTTTGAAGGATCGCTTCTTACTCAACACTGGCGAATTTTGTTTATTGAATTTGCTTGCATTTGATCGAAATTCAACTTCGTAT